CTAAGAAGTTACGATATATTAAGACTACTAAACCTAACCTAAAATAGTAATATATCGAATAATACGCTAGAGGGGCGTATATCGCGTTAATTTGCTAACCCGAAGCCTGTTTCGATTTATCTACTACTACCTAACACTAAGACCCCTTGCTAGAAGTAATAAAAGCACTAAATTAATAGATTTAATAGTAAATAGAATCGCCTAACCGAGGAATAACGTTTATCCTACTCGACCTTATAATAGCTAAGCTATTCGTTTTCGTTAACAGGTCGTTCGCTAATAACCACGACCTTTCCTCCTAATTAGGGTTTCTAATCATCCTAGCTAACGATACTTCCTCTAATAGCAATAATAGAGAATTCACGATTTACGGTAACCTCGTTTATTATAGCTTTACGAAGAGTAAACAAGTTACCCGTAGCGTATTAGCGTTAGAGATCTACGGGATAGTCGCTAGCGTCGATATAGCCTACGCCCTCGCTATAACCTTAGCGATAATTACTAACTACCTTAACCTACTAACGATTTAGATAGTTGTCTATACCGATTCTTATTCGCTATACGAGTATCTCGTAAAGCTAGGCACTACCAAAGAAAAGCGACTCATGATCGATATCATAGCGTTAAGACAATCGTACGAAAGACGAGAACTATAAGAAATTCGTTAGATTAACAGCGAAGACAACCCTGCTAATACCCTCACGAAGAGCAAACCAAATCGAGCCCTCGAGAGATTCGTTAATAGCAACATGATAACGATACGTATAGAGGGATAGGTAACAAGACCGTAACTACGGGAGAAAGTAGGGATAGGAGGCCGAATTAACGAGGAGACGGAACTATATAAGGACAACGTATTCCAACCGCTTCAACACCATAAAAAGAGAGTTTCCAGTATTGCGATAGTTGGAATACGGAGTCGTGTGGCACTTCCAGCCACACGCCCGCCAGGCTGAGAGGCCCAAGCCTCCCAGACCCACGTGACAGGCCAAGGGGGAATATCCCCACCTTCTAGTCAACAACACCACTTTCAACTATCATGAACCATCGATTAGAACCAATTTACTGTTATTTGTTATTGACGAACGGAATTCCGTTTCACCCCCTGTGAAACCTACAGTTACCCTCGACAGTTCCGTCGCATCCGCTTGTGAGGCCAGGACTGATACTCTTTGCAAACTTCCTGATTGGGTATCTCGCTAAAATCTTAGTGTTATGTCCGAATACAACCGGGATTGAAAACTAGGGTCTGAATGAATCCATGAATACCACAAATTACTTGTAGCAATCATTTACATCTTATTCTATCCTTCGAGTATTCCTTGCCAGTTTAAAGCAATTTCAAAGATAGTCTGGTAACCGAGAGAAAATGTTCCGTATAATCATAATCCGGTTAGCATGTCATCTGACGCTGGGCTAAAAATCAGTATTTGTGGGGGCCGTGCGAAGTGACGTTTTCGCTTGCGGAGTTTTGGATTCTCACACAGTAAACGTCTTGTTAAGCGATCTTATCAAAGGGCGGGGTGTAATCGCGATAAGGATTTTTTTGCGCCAGGAAAAATTTGGACCTGGGAAGCGACTCTCGACTGCTTTGGCATCCATCGTCTCCCACAGTTGGTCCCGACAGATTGGAACACGACAAGCAAAATGTCGACTCCAACTCTTGCCGAGAAGCTGGACAAGATCCGGTCTCCCGGTCTTCAAAGCCAGAAAAGGGTATAGTATTTTTTTTTTTGGTATTTGTTACTGTCAATTACTGGCTAACATTACTCTCAAGACAGCGGTAGTACTCGAGGCGGTCGACGCAACATTGAAGGAGCAAAAGACCGAGCCCACACCAACTGGCTACTTCGCCGCGCTTTTGGCACTGCTTACACAGGCCGTCGAAAGCGGTAACATCAGCTCCGAGACGACGACCTCTGTTGTCTACCTCCTCGATACCGTAACGCCGTTTGCGCCTCAACCTCTCCTCCGAGCCAAGTTCACCCAGATTCTCACCTCTCTCGCCCCCGTACTTCTTCTGCAAGATGCCGAGGCTCTTCTTCTCCGATCTTCTATCGGCTGCCTGGAGTCTTTGCTGCTTGCACAGGACTCTGGCGCCTGGGAACTTGGCGTAACGCAGATTGGTCCCCGAAGAGCCGTCGCTGGTTTGCTCAACCTGGCCCTCGACCACCGCCCAAAGATCCGAAAGAGAGCGCAAGAGGCGCTGCGAAACGTTCTGAAAAACGCGCCCCCGAGTCCCTCGTTGGATCACCCAGCCGCCGACATGTGCGCGCACACCGCCCTTGCCAACTTGGAAGACATTGCCGGAAAGGCTGCGCAGGCGAAGAAGCAGAAGAACGGAGCCGAGTCGGCCCACGATCCCGCCCTTATCCACGCTCTCCAACTCATTAAGACTATTGCCTCTTCCAGCGGTGGCTGGCCCAGCAAGAAGATCGAATCCCTCTGTGAGCTGTTGCTTGGCATCTCTAGGTCAGGCAACGAGTACATGACCATGGCAACTTTTGAGATTTTTGAGATGATTTTCGAGGGAATGGCCGATGAAGTTGCGTCAGCTAAACTTCCCCGACTTATGGAGATCATTTCGGAGTTGCGACCCGCCGCGAACGACACGCAATTGATCCCTCCATGGTTGGCTATCCTTTCCAGAGGTTACGATGTTTCAGCGCAGCTCGAGCCCGAAGAGGTCTTCCAGAACTTGCCCGGAATTTTCTCCATGGTCGCCCAGTACCTGGAGTCCTCAGCTCACAACATCCGCGTTTCCGCCTCTGAATGTTTGGTCTCATTCCTGGCGAATTGCATCCCTAAGCAAGTCATCTTGGAGCCATCAATCTACGACGAAAAGACTTTGGACAAGATCGCCAAGATCGCGGAGTCTCTGCTTAGCGTAAAGTATCAGCAGGCTTGGATGGAGAGCTTCAACGTGTTCGGAGCGATGTTTGACGCCCTGAGATGGCGAGCTCACCCCATGATGCTCAATATCACCAAGGCTGTTGGAGATCTTCGTGGAAGCGACTCTTTCCAAGGCAAAAAGGAAGCCGACGAAGTCATTGGCAAGGCTATTCGTGCCATGGGCCCCGAAGCTGTTCTCTCCATCCTACCTCTCAACTTAGCTAAGCCTGTCAAGGGCCAACAAGGTCGTGCTTGGATGTTCCCCATCCTCCGCGACTACGTCAGCAACACCAATCTTTCTCATTTCCGCCGTGAGATGGTTCCCCTGAGTGAGATCATGTTCCAAAGGGTTTTGGACCATGGCAAGGCCGAGAAAACCATGGAGGTCAAGATTTTCGAGACCCTAGTGCAACAAATTTGGGCCACCTTGCCAGGATACTGTGACCTTCCCCTTGATCTGACTGAGGCGTTCGATCAAAGCTTCGCCGAACTTCTGGCCAACATTCTGTACAAGCAAATTGAACTGCGCCTGGAGGTCTGCCGTGCGCTTAAGATCCTTGTTGAGTCCAACCAGGCTATTGCCACTATCGAAGATGCCGAGGAGGACTTGGTCCTTCAGAGCCGTGTCTCGAGAGCTACAGCCAAGAAGAACCTGGAACACTTGGGTGGCTTCGCCGGTAACATGCTTGCTGTTCTTTTCAATGTCTACACCCAGACACTACCTCAGTCAAGAGGTCCCATCCTTCTTACTATCAATGCTTTCTTGAGCGTCACTCCAGAGAAAGAACTCATTGAGACTTTCGACCGTGTGAGCAAGATGCTTGCATCTGAACTGCAGCAGACCGCCGAGCAGCAAGATAAGCCCAAGCAGCAGCAAAAGCCCAAAGACCAGATGCCTTCAACAAGCAGCACCTTGATGGATCTGATCATTACTATATCTGTGTATCTGCCCCGCGAGAGCTTCACCGCTCTTTTTGAAATCGCCTCTGTCATCATCTTCAAGGAGAACGAGCCACAGCTGCAAAAGAAGGCTTACAAGCTCGTCCCCCGTCTTGCCGAGTCGGAGACTGGCAAGTTGGCGCTTCAGGAGCGTGGTGAAGAGCTTCAGCAAATGTTCCTGAACAGCGCCGAAAAGGTTTCCGCCCCTGCTCGCAGGGAGCGTCTGGCCGCTCTCTCCGCACTGCTCTCCTTCGTTCCCGATACCTCCCTCCACTTTATCCCGTCAATACTCAGCGAGGTCGTCATTTGCTGCAAGGAGAACAACGAGCGTGCCAGAGAAGCCGCCTATGACCTATTGGTTCAGATGGGCCACCGTATGGAGTCGGCAAACAATGCCACCATCGACAACAAGAAGATTCCTCACATGCCCGAAGATGCGCCGGCCGGCAAGGCCAACATCGAAGAATTCCTCACCATGGTCTCCGCCGGTCTCGTCGGCAGCACCCCTCACATGATCTCTGCGTCCATTACCGCTCTCAGCCGTGTTTTGTACGAGTTCAGGAGGTCTTTCAGCCAGCAGACCCTGGCCGATCTCGTCCAGACCATGGACCTCTTCCTGACTTCCAACAACCGAGAAATCGTCAAAAGTGTTTTGGGCTTCGTCAAGATCTGCGTTGTCAGTCTCCCCTCAGAGCTTGTCATCCCCCGCCTTTCGTCCCTCATCCCCAACCTCATTATCTGGGGTCACGAGCACAAGGGCCACTTCAAGAGCAAGGTCAGGCATATTCTTGAGAGAATGGTGCGCAAGTTCGGCTACGACCTCGTCAACCAGAACTGCCCCGAGAGCGACCGCAAGCTCATCAACAACATCCGCAAGACCAAGGAGAGAAGCAAGAAGAAGAAGGACGCTGCCAGGCAGGCGGGTGAGGAGAGCGACGAGGATGACGGCCGCCAGGGACGCAAGTTTGACAACGAACTCGACCAGGCTCTCTACAGCAGCGACTCAGAAGGCTCAGAGGAGGAGTCCGACGACGAGGACGCTGCTGCGGCTGTCAAAGCCAGGCGCGGCAACAGGAAGGGTGGCAACACCTACATTGTCGAGGACGAGGACGAGCCACTTGACTTGCTCGACCGTAACGCCCTGGCCAACATCTCTTCCACCAAACCTGTCAAGATGCGCAAGCCGACCAAGACCAAGGCCAAGACTGATCTCGACGGCAAGCTGATTCTGGGTAAGGACAGTGATGATGAGATGGAAGTTGACGGTGCCGACAACGGCGAGTCTGGTGTCAACGCCTATGTCGCTGCCCTCAAGGGCAAGGATGTGGCTCGCAAGGGTCGCAGCGGCAAGCTCAAGTTCAGCAACAAGCGCGGCCAAGAAGATGACGAAATGGAGGACATGGACGAGGGCGACGCTGCTGCTGTCAAGGCGCAGGTTGACAAGAGCCGTGGTGGCGGTAGGCCTTTCCGTGGTGGTCGTGGCGGCCGAGGCGGCAATGCCCGCGGCGGACGTGGTGGCAGGGGCGGCATCGCTTCCGGCCGCAAGGGTCTCGGCGAAGACAGGAGACGTGGCCCTACGTCGAACGGAGGCGTGAACAAGGGCCGCAGCAGGGGCGGACGAAGGTAGATGCAGTTGATGTCTGTTTTCTTGAAATGTATAGTCTGATTATACCCGTTTAAATGAGGTAAAAGCGGGCCCTTTCTTTTGAAACAAAAAGGGTTTTCCATGTGGCGTCCTAACGGCAGATAGAGAAAAGAAAAGAAATTGGTATTTACAACGAGCAACTGCCCATGACGTTATAGGAGGCAGCCTCATCTGCAAGTTTGTTGTTTTTCTTGGGGGGAGTTTGCTAAACGTCTCTGTTTTGACTATGCGGCCTGATTTCGAACCCAGACCAGGGGCTTCTTTTCCTCATCGTTATATAACATGCACTAAAGCCCGTCTTCTTTACGTAAAAACACGGAATACACAACAAAAGGCTCCTGAAACAAAGTGTACATCATGATAATAAAACCTACAATCCAAAACTCCGAACCCGCGTCCCGAAGGATAGCCTGTTTGATGCTTTATCTAAACTTGCTGAAAATGACGGCAATAATGAGAAGAACAAGGATGGTGATGATTGAGATAGTGATCACCCGATTGGTAGCCATCCTAGCGCAAATGTTAGTTCCCAAGCACTTGAGGTACAAAACTACTGTCACTATGGCAGGGGGTAAGGGACGGTATTTACCTACGTGCCATCCCCCGTAGCGTCTTGACACTGCGGTCCACGTATCCTTCGCTTTCGAGGAGGCGGTCGTGGGTGTGCTGGATGGTCTCGCGCTGCTGGTGAAGGTTTGCCAAGGTGCTGGCACCGATGGCCTCAGTCTCATTTGCGAGGGCCTGAGAGGCTTTGAGGCGCTGCGTGGAGCGGTCGAGGCGGTCTGTTCCCTGGAGGAGCTGCTGGCGCTGCTCAAGCTGGACATCTTGACCGGAGCCTGACGGGTTATCGGTATAGCGGGCGCCGAAGAGAGCGGCACGGTCGTCGGCGAGGGAACGAAGCTTGCGCTTGTGGGAGTCGATATCGGTCTCGTGGTTGCGGAAGCGGGCGTTGATCTTGCTGCGGAGTGTGGTGGGGATGTTTGCCTTCTCAAGGCGCATTTGGGCGAGCTGGCAAGGAGTTCACCGTTAGTCATTCCGGCCCCAGTCTAGCTAGACATATGAAAGGAAATGGGCTGTGAATACAAGTTCATCTGCCTCCTCCAAAGCGCGCTCGGCGGAGCTGAGGGCAGCCTTGCGTGGCTCGCCTGAAAGTTCGGGGATTTGGTCGAGCTTCTGAACCAGGTCGGCCTGAACCAGCTTCAGTTCGGCTTCATAATCACTGAAGCGTTCAGAGCCGGGCTCGGTTTCGAGAGGGTTAGACATATTGAGGGAATGCGACGACGGTGGAAGGCTTGTGGGAGACTTGTGAAGACGTTGGCGATGCTGTCCTTTAGCGACTAGGGGTTGAATAGGTATACGAGGTGACAAGCGATGCACCTCTTTAAGTATACCCTGATCGAATGAGACAGGGAACAGATATCTCGTATCTTCGTGAAAACGGTCAAGGTCGTCGAGCGCGTGTCTTTCGTTGGTGTTGCAGGAAACTGGGAAAGCCGGAAACGAGCAAGTCGGGGGGTGGGATTGCGTTGTTGGTAAGTCGTCGACCGCATGTAGTCTGCGTAAGTCTGGGCCGGGCTTGGCGACATCATGCTACCAAGTGGCTGGTGCATCAATAAGCCAGCCTCCAGCCACTATACCTTCGCACGTGACAATACTGGTCCGTGCACACGCAAGGCCCCGTCGACTGCAGGCTTTTAATTGAAGTTCGTTGGCGCTGAACTTCGTTCCTCTTCTCTTCTTCTTTTTTTCTTCAAGTTGATTATCCCCCGGTTCGAGGAAAAACGGCTCGGCGTTGTTGGGCATTTCGATGCCTAGTGGACGTAGAGTTGAACTTAAGCCGGGTAGAGTAATGGTGAGTGTTTCCCCTCGGGGAGATGCTTCATCACGTCGCTTTTAAGAATTGGGAACTCGATCTCACGTTTTCCGGTCCCGTTGAGTGCTCGACATTTTCTGTCGTAAACTGCAGTTCATACCACGTGAAGCCATATAATTAGGCTTTTATAGCCGCTTTAAATGTCACTGCAACGATTTTGCCTTGGTACGGATGCCCATTGCGTATCGTTCGGGCATCAAGTCGTTTTCTGACGAATATTTTCGCATGAGAATGCTTAAGGGTTGGATGTGCAAAGCCTGACAACCGCAAATAGCACTCAGCCATGACGTGCTTCACTGCCATGCTGTGCTCAAGAAGTTGAACATATGCCTGTATCTGTTGTATGACACTGTATGATGGTGTCGCTCTCAGATGATACTTCAAGCTAGGCGTCCCTCTCCATGTTGCGGGCTGCCCAGTCTGGGAACTATATCGCTGTCATGTGAAAATTTGCAATACCAGTATGTGGGGCCGATACGACATCGATTGAGTACGCATCTGTTGAAAAGTTGCGGAAGTCTCATTGCGCCGCGCTGCCTAGAGTGAAGATAATTACGGACTGTGCTGCCTACACATGTCGACCAAGCCAGAGGACAACCCAGCAAATTACTATCAACCTATCCGATCTACCAGGGTAATTTTCGATGGCAAGTCATAGGACAAATCCTAGAGATTTTAGAAGCACAATTCAATTATGGCTTTTTCGTGGTTTGCAAAGAAAACTTCTGCCATCCACATCGTTGCCAACTGGAAAAGCGGCAAAACCTGGGCGGTCACCAGCCTCCTTCCAAAAAATTCAGCATTCGTCCCCCACCATAGGCAGCAGAGGCCACCAAAACGGGTGTGGGCCCGTGCGCCTTGTCCATGGTGGCCAGAAATCTATATAATGGCGACCTCCCACCGCGCATCTTAGAATTTTCTTTTCTCTTTTTTCCTTATGTCGACAATACTTCAGAGAATCATTTCTATAGTATTCGACCCTCTCTTGGTTCCCTAAAGGAGCCACAGATCCCACCCTGGTTGATGAATGATATCCTCGACGCCCTAGAGTGAAGAACTCTGGTTGCTCTCGCACCTTCCGTAAGGAAGGCGGTCTTGACAGATTTTCTGTTGGCTGTATAGAGAGCGGTGATGATCTCGTCCCCGATTGTGGTCTTGCCTTCGGGCGCACTGTCGGGGTGGGTGTCGATGGACGTCTGACAGGCTCGTTTTTTTCTCTTTTTCATTGTTTACTGGAGCTTGCTCTGGTTACGAGGAAGAAGTTTCTGCTTGATTTCCATGTCTACCTCGCGCTTCCGAGCAGACCCAAGTTCTGCACTCGCACCCCCCATCCTCTAAATCGTACCTGAATCTGCATTACGTTCATGGAAATTCGAACCTTGGGCCATCACCGAGGCTGAGTATTTTAGTTTTCGTAAATGCTTGGTGTAAAGATGAAGTTAGCTGGTCGCCAAACAATGCACCGCATCATCAAGTCCAGTGATAATCGCTTATCACATTCTGTTTCAGACTTCAGCCTCCCAACAGAACATCCGGGCAGCCACTTGTGGCGCCATGATCGTGGTTATGGTGGGTTATCAAGAAAGATGTGACAAGGGGGGTTGGGAAACCGCTGGGGGTTCCAGAGATCGGGTGCGGCTTGCAGGGGTTATCGGTCAATGCAAGCGTCATTGCGCCTAGGAGGTCCGGCAACTGGGTTTCGTTTCATCGCATCGTGATCCGCCCGTGACCAAACACTACTTTTCTGACACCGTTCCTGCCTTTGCATTTTTGTTCTCCCATTGTTCTCGTCATCGGCATAACTTATCTTAAAAAGATCGGAGAACGCCCCCCCGTCGTGCTGCCCTGTAGCCACGTGTCGACACCTGGAGCCTTTCAAGGGATATATCGGAAAACTATCAAGCCAAGTAGGAATGGCGCCAGGCCAGCCGCTGTAAGTTTGTCCCTTTTTTTTTTCTGCATGTCTTCCTTCCATTGGCTTCATCTTCATCTTTGAGGTCCTCATCATCATCCAACCATACTTCCAAGACATGCATATACACTTCCAGTCGTACCCACATGCTTCCACACACACCCACATGCCAACATCATTGCTACCTCAACCCAACACGTCCATCGCTTCCGCAAGCTGCATGGCTAGGTGCATTGGTCTAGAGACTGGTTTGTGTTACCATACCACCATGCCACACCTCCTATTACCCTTAAGACCCTGTTCCCCCCCAAAAAAGCATGAGCTTGAAGGAACACGGCGTGGATTGGCATGTGCGAAAGGCCATCTATCCATCCAATTGTCCCATCTTCCCCAATTCGTCGTCCGTGGCTTGCGCCTTGCACCCCCGCCATTCTAAGACACTTGCACCGAGCTTCGCAAGCTGCCGGCCTCCCTGATTATATTCTTTCCTATCGCTCTGCCTTTCTTACTCCTATCCGCATCGTCACATAATCACCCATCTGCGCCCGCAAGACGTGGCTTGTTCGAAACCCGGACCTGTATCTTCTCTTCTATTGTCCAGTCACTCCAGCAGATATGCCTCGTCGACAGTCGTCGGTAGGCTCAGTGGGCTCTTTGGGCTCTGTGGGCTCCCCCATTGACCCGAAGCTTAGGAAAAAAGTCGCCGTTGTCGGCAGTGGATCCGCCGGTATTGCTGCTCTCTGGGCATTGAATCGAAGCTACCATGATGTCTACATGTATGAGGCCTCGTCGAGGCTCGGTGGACACACAAATACCGTACCGTGGCGGAATGGCAAGTTTGAGACGAGGGTCGATACTGGCTTTATCGTCCTCAATACGGCAACTTATCGTGGGTATATTTGATGTGATTGACCAAGGGTCTCGCTCACATATCATGCAGCAAACTTTATCAACTTTCTCAAAAGGGTCAAGGTAGAGACGGTCCCGACTGAAATGACGTTCGGCGTTACGCGCGACCATGGCGCATTTGAATGGGCTGGCACCAGCTTGGATGCCGTCTTCTGCCAACGGAAGAACATCTTCTCGCCTCGGATGTGGAGGATGGTATTCGATATAATTCGCTTCAACCAGTTTGCTCTAGACCTGCTGATGGCTGACGACGAGAACGACGCCGCTGCCATGAATGGAGACAGTGTAGGCGCTAAGCGGGAGGAAACGATTGGTGACTATCTTGAAAGAGAAGGTTACTCAGATGCTTTCCGGGATGACTATCTCATTCCTATGACCGCCGCCGTATGGAGTACAAGCCCGGATAAATGCACGTTGGATTTCCCTGCAGTCACTCTCGTCCGCTTCATGTAAGTGATATGATATGGCTAATGGGCCGTGGCAAGGACTAACATCTGGCAAGGTGGAATCATCATCTTTTATCGACGGTCACTGCAAGGCCTCAGTGGCTCACCTTAAAGAAGTGTGCGAAGTCTTACGTCGACGCTGTAATGAGTGGGTTCCCTTCGAATCACTTGTTTCTCAATACTCAGGTCACGTCGGTCACGAGCGAAGAAGACGGCAGGGTGCGAGTACACACTGCCAGCGGCAAATCTGACGTCTACGATCATGTCGTTCTGGCAACCCATGGTGACCAAGCTCTTCAAATCATCGAGGCATCAGCCACTCCGGAAGAGAGGGAAATCCTATCCGCGTTCAAAACGTCGGAGAACTCCGTTGTCCTCCACTCAGACCTTTCATTAATGCCAGCTTCAAGAAAGGCATGGTCGAGTTGGAACTATCTTACTCTCTCTTCGCCATCAACTGGTAAACAAAACATTGACCAGGTTTCTTTAACATACAACATGAATATTCTTCAACACATCCCACGCGAGACCTTCGGAGACGTGCTCGTTACGATGAACCCCCTTCACGAGCCCAACCCGGACACAGTACAGGCCGCCTTTACCTACCGTCATCCACTCTACACTCCGGAGGCAGTGCGAGCACAAAAGCTTCTCCCACGTATTCAGAACAAGCGCGGTATCAGTTACGCTGGAGCTTGGACAAAGTACGGCTTCCACGAGGATGGTTTTAGCAGCGGCTTGCATGCTGCCCAAGACCATTTGTACGCGAAATTGCCCTTCCAGTGGGTAGACTCAACGTATAGCCGAGGGCGAAAGCCTTCGCTTGGTCTTGCTGACCTTCTGGTGAGGCTCGTCATTCTTACCATTCAAGTATTTGTAATAAAGGTTTTGGAGAGAGCTGTGGGCGTTGCGAAGAGAGTAGTGACTCCTCGTACTAATCGCCTGAGGAGGACTGTAAAGAACGGAAAGCTCGCATGATGCTGTCTTCATGTGAACAAGATGCATATAAACATTTAAAATTACTTTAAGCTTTGGTTTTTTATTTCATCACCAATATATGCCTCTGGACCCTACTATATTGAAGTTGGCCCATCTACCTTGCTGCTAGTTGATGCGGGCGTGGTAGCGAAATACAAGATAGCTTATGTGAAGAACAAGGGTTTCAGTGGTTCCCCCACTGCGATCCCAGCGACTGGACCCCTGGAACATCGCTGAAGTCAGAGGCCGGGGCGGAACAACCACCCCACCCGCCCTGACAGTTTCGGTGTCTGCCGGGTGTAAGCAGGGAGAAGCCCAACCCACCTCTAAATCCCGATTAGATGCGGAATGGCATGACATTCCTTAACGTCTTCACAAACCACCAAACTTTTCGCCCGCCGCGATCATGAACGCCTTCCCGCGCCTCCCGTGGCGCCAGTCGGCGCAGAAATGGAGCTGCTTCTTCTGCCAGCACGCTCGCCCTTCCCCGCGAACCCCCCGATTGCCTGTCGCAGCTCCTCGGCGCGCCGCATCCACAACTCCCTCGCCGAAGCAGACCGGACCTAACTTCGGTGCCGCACCCTCAATGGAGCAGGTGCATGCGCACTACAGGAAGAAGAACGCTACGACGGCGTAAGGATCATGCAGAACGGTCAATTGAGGGTGGCAGAGTTTGGCTAAGCATATGCACAGGTACTATACCCTCAGTGTCATCCTGGGCACTGTGGCATTGTCTTACGGCTCCGTCCCTTTGTATAAGATGGTGCGCTCACTCCCCATGTCTCCGGCTTCGACACTTGAAAACAAAACTGTGATATGGTATAGATCCTTACTTTGGTCTTCAGATCTGCCAAACTACAGGCTGGGGCGGCCAGCCCATTCGCGCCCACGGTCCCGACGTAGACTACAGCGAAGACGGTCTCGCCTCTCGTCTGGTCCCAGTGACCTCGGCAAAGCGCATTCGTGTTACCTTCAGCTCCTCTGTCTCGGACGTTCTCCCCTGGAAATTCACCCCTCAACAACGTGAAGTGCGTGTGCTCCCTGGCGAGACGGCGTTGGCGTTTTACACGGCGACCAACACTTCTGATACGGACATCATCGGCGTTGCAACTTACAGCGTCACGCCCGGCCAGGTGGCGCCATACTTTAGCAAGATTCAATGCTTCTGCTTCGAGGAGCAAAGACTGAATGCGGGCGAGACGGTTGATATGCCGGTCTTTTTCTACCTGGATCCCGATATTGTCAACGATGTCAACATGCGCGGCATCGAGACCGTGACGTTGAACTATACCTTCTTCAGTACGTCAATAAGTTTCTAGGATGCCCTAATAGTAGAGTAGTTTGCTAACTAGGTGCTGCAGAGGCCAAGTATGACGACAATGGCAAGTTTAAGCCGCCTGTGCCGCTCGACCACACCAAATAAAGCGCCATGTCGATTTTCCAAGATGGCATATGGGAGCTTCTCATATCTTATTCCCCACTCAACATCATTCCATTGAGACTCTGCCTGTACAAAACAACTGAAACCTCGTGGCTCTGAAGCCCAGGTTGTGTCACTAATTACCATGTATCTGTGTATGGTTGAGAAAAAGGGGCAGCATTCAAGAAAGGCGTTTAAGGGGCTGCAAGCATTATGATGTGACTTTATAGATTCACATATGTAGGATATAAGCCAGGACAGTTCCAAAAGCAGCGGCCAAGAAGGTTGCCATCATTGTTTTGAGACTCGAACCGGTCGTTTCGCTCCCAGTCTCGTTAAAGTTCATTTTGTTGCTCTTTTAAAAATGTAGGTGGCGACCTCCACATGTTTATCAAGAAGATGTTTTGAACTTGAGCAGACGCATGCTAGATTAGGATTGTAGCTAGTATATGATTTTTTATGATACCTCTCTCGAAGGCACTGCCTTACCATATCGTTGAGAAGACGGAAGAAGCTTCATCAAAGGCAATATGGGTGGCTACACCTAATGATAAGGTAGCTTGGAACTTCTACATTAGCTTGTCTTATCTAATCGCCGATGCAGCCCGGTCTTTGAAAATTCTCTTTGCCAGTCAATGGGGAGCTTGGGCCACACCTACCTATACCTTCCTGCGAACCATCACGTGGGCTATCTAGGGCAGCCAAAGTCACGTGTGGCCAAATGCTGGGAAATTTTCAGCCCACAACAGGGGAACCCACCACATTTTGTCAAAACTTTTTTTCCTTTTGGTATTCCGCTCTTTGACTTGCGACAAACATCACGAACTCATTCCCGCCCAACGACGTTCCTACTAACGCCCAGCCAAAATGACCAAGGTTAACCAGAGTATGTTTCGACCTCACGGAGTCCATTCAATTGATCTCGATGCTGACGTTTTCTTTAGATGTTTCGTCCTCGCGACGCAAGTCCCGCGCCGCCCACTTCGGTGCCCCCTCCAGCACTCGTCGCTTCATCATGAGCGCTCCCCTCTCCAAGGAGCTCCGTGAGAAGTACAACGTATGTTTTGTCCCGGTTCTCAGGTCATCCAAAAGCCTAGACACTGACTCCTCCCAAAGGTCCGCAGCATCCCCATCCGCAAGGACGACGAGGTCACCATCGTCCGTGGTGCCAACAAGGGTCGTGAGGGCAAGGTCACTTCCGTCTACCGCCTCAAGTACGTCATCCACGTCGAGCGCGTCACCCGCGAGAAGACCAACGGCCAGTCCGTTCCCCTGGGCATCCACCCCTCCAACGTCGTCATCTCCAAGCTCAAGCTCGACAAGGACCGTGAGTCCATCCTTGAGCGCATCAAGGTTGGCCGCGAGCTCCGCGTCAAGGGCAAGGCCACCGCCTAAATTCCTCCATCCTCATCAATGAGACCTCTCGGCGTCTTCTCTGGTTCCCCGACTTGAGACTTTTTGAAAAAGGAGTCCTCGTGTCATACCGGAATTGAGATTACATCGGGCTCCCAAACGATAAGCGGCAATTCAAGGGACAAAAACTGGTACATCAAAAGGCACGGCGGCGGGAATGACACAACTACGATATCCATCGACGGCGTTATGCAAACGATCAAACCTTGAACGCAATTTTGGCAATGGCATTGCCTGGAAAAGGGAAAGGGAATGAGGGAACCAAGGCTAAAAGCAAAAAAGTTTTAGAAAAATCAATCGAGAAATCTCATTTTCTCAATGGCCATTTCACGTCTCGTCCGTGAAGTGCTCCATGGGAGGTTCTCCCGAAGCCACCATCGCCCGCCCCTCCAGGGGGCGATGATGTCTCGGGCCATGGCCCCTACTCTGTTTTGCTACACATTCGGGTGACATGCACTAACCATTTCAGTTGGCCGCATCGGCCGGGAGGACAATGTTCTTGAATTGTAATTGGAACGTCCTCCAGATGGTAGGTCTACGTAGATTTTTTATTGTGTCCATCCCGCTAGGATATCTCCGCGTTAACCACTGAGATCCATGGTTTTCGAGGTATACGACTGGCGAAGAGCAACCCGGTAGGAGAGATTTTTCCAAAAGGAATCACCACTCTCCTGCTCTCGCCCGAAGATTTTCACTGAGCTTTGTCTATGAGGTTGGAAATTTGATGGTGAGGAACATATCCTCCTGGTTAGTGTCGATTTTCTACATGCATGCCGTTGTAGGATTACCCTTGCCTTACCTATATGCATCAGTAGTTAGTTTAGTAATCCAACTCGATGAAGCAATTCTATATTTACAATACTTGTAAGTGCATGTCACCTTCCTTTAACTCGAGCAGAGTCTTGTGGCAAGACTGGGTCACGTTCAGTGTAGATGGACTGGATGTTTCTTGTCACGTTATTTCGCTAGAAACGACATGATCTAATGTACTGAATTATCTGGATCTCTCTTCCTGCTATCTATGCCTGTTTTTCAAGTACTGATATTACCCTTTCCTTATTATTCTCCCCTGAATACTCGTAAAATGCATCCCTTGATACTGGGTTTTGCAGGCTGTCGCACGGTTTTGTTGGTACAAGTGTTGCTGATGCAGTTCGTAATCATACATAAGATAGCAGCTGATGATGTCGTTCTGAAAGATGTTCGGTTATTTGATTCGCTATGCGTACTGGTCAATGTAATGTTCTTAGGACTCCAGTTGATGCGACTTACCACGGAACGTTTGGGGGGCTGGTTCTCAGCTCGGCCATCAACTGAATTGGCAAGTCGGGCCAAGGTCGCGTCCAAGTTGCTGTTGTCATTCGTTTTGGGATGAGGCAGGCGGGAAGCCTGGCCGGCGGCCTTGGCAATCACAGGAGAGAGTGAAGCGGCAGCATTGCCTATGGTGTATTGCGGAAGGTAGCCATGGGCGTTTTCGGAAGTGACAGCTCCAGGCAAAGCAGTTGCGGTAGCCGTAACTCTTTCCGACCAAGCACGCACACTGCAACACTGTTAGCGGACATACATCAAGGGTCATAAGCGTGAAAACGAAGCAACGCAAAAATGAAAGATGCCTGCGACAAAAAGGCGGGGATCGGCAAAAGGACTGTAAGAGAACAAATAAACTGACCATGAATTGAAGTAGGCTCGCTCAGACTCCGTCTCACCAATATTGTCTGATGATCTTGAGCTGTCCTTTAACTCATCAAGGCCTTGACTGTTGAAATAAGCCACCGGTCGAAGCTTACTGCCACTGCGAGGTTTCATGGGAGATGTCACGTTGTCTGACTTGGTAGCACGCTTTAGGTCGCGGTTGCGAGCCGCCGCTGTTCTGAAAGTATCGCCACGGTAGGGCTCTAGGGGGGCAAACGGATCTAGGTCTGCAGCAGGCAGCGAAAAGCCGTAATCCTGCTCGGGTCTGCCTGTAGGCAGATTGTTGACAACTTTGCTCTTGGGCCGGATGTGCTTCTCAGGAGAAACTGGGAAAAAGTCCTTTCCATTAAACTTGGGAAACTTCTTACGCAAGTGGTCAGGAGCGTTCGTCCAGAAGAGATGCTTCGCCATCTCTTCGTCTTGTGTCAGAGCGCGATGATAAATGTAGTCGCGGATCTCAGGGCTGGGATCCATTCCGAAGGGTACTTCGCCGACGAGGTAGGGTAGCCCTAGACCAGCATTTTCACGAGCGAAGTTAGAAAACGCTTCGATATCCTCGGCAGGAGTTGGTGGAGCAACGGATGATAAGTAGCGATTCGACTCCTCAAAGTTTGCAGGAATCGGGCCATAGAACTTGCCACCGAAGGTGTCTCTTTTGTTGTCAACAGTTGGGTTCGCTGCAGTCGCGGTGGTTGTTCGTCCAATGTCCTGCGAGGCATTCTCAAGGTCTGACCGAGGCTGGAAGACGGGGGCCAAGGCAGCAGAAACGGGCAGAAGCGACGGCTTGGTAGCTTTAGAAGTGTCCACGGTGAGTTTGACTTTACCCTTCTTGTGAGTCTTGATGGGCTTGTCACCATTACTCTGCGAGGATTCCATTGGGTCAGCCTTGCCTCTGTTCAACTGTTCGTCCCCCTTGCCCTGAGAGGACTCCTTGATGCTTCCCTTTCCTGTCGAGTGTTCCTGTGAAGCATTCTCCTCTAGAGCGAGCTCTCCTTTGAGCTTGATCTCGAAGTGCTCAATGTCTGCACGAAGTTGACGTGCATATTCTTCCATATGCTTTTCGTCAATTTGGTGACGGTTATACGCCAACTGAGCCTCTGCTTTCTTGAGGCTAGATCGCAGACCAGAAAGCTGGTTCTTTGTGATGATACTGGGCCTGATTGACGAAATGGGGAAACTCTCAGGCTGTTGAATAGCCGAAGAGAAAGGTCTGGAACCAATGCCCGTCGCAGACACAGGTGTGGGGGGCTGTTGATAGATAAAAGGGCCCATTGGCATCATGGGAGTACCAGGGAACGGCAGACCCATTGGCATCAAAGGAGGGGGCGGAAAGAACCACTGGCCGCTGAAAGGAGGCATAGTGCCTGGCGGGCCTTGAGCCATGAGAAAGGCTGGATGCATGGCTGGATGCATGGGAGCCGCCATCATGGGCTGGCCGGGGAGAAACGGTGTGCCAAAAGGTGGCTGAATTCCGTTACTATCGCCAACAAGCCTCTCCTTACTACCCTTCCCGGTAGGAGAGGAATGAGAGGGGTCAAAAGTGTTTGGCACAATCCTCCCTCCGGCGGTAACACGTACATGAGTTGGAGATCGTACGGCCTCGTAGAATTGCTCAAACCCCTTGCGCTTCTGGTCAGGCAGAATAGGTGGTTGGGGAAGCGCTTGGGTAGTTCCAAGCTCAGGTTCTGCATCTTGTCCGTCAAGTTGTATGGCTTCTATGCTGCTTGGGATTGTGTTCTGACGAATGTTTTGGTCCTGGAGCTGTGAGATGTGTTGGGGAACCTGGGCGTTAGTGAAAACATTGTCTTCAGATTCAGCAGATGACTTTCTGACATCCACATTGGCCCTGGAAGATAGTATCATGCCCCTTTTGTAACGAAGCTTGTGACGCATGATGTCGGCTTCACAACAGTATTAGCAGGTTGCCAACGAAAAATGCTATCAACAGTTGTGGAAATCAGAACAGAAGACCTACAGAGAACTCGATTGTCCTTGGCATGCTCAAGCAACCCTTTCTCAAAATCTAGCTGCAGATTGGATCCCCGAAGGGCCATGAGCTTCTCGACAGTATAGTGAGGCGGATCCATCGGCATATGGGCAACAACTACAAAGGGAGTTGGGGCCTGAAAGCGAGATTGGTCGATCTAAAAAGTCAGCATGAGACTACTGAGGCAGTAAAGCTAAAGACAAAAGGGGTGCCAGGAGAGAAAACTCAATCGATGAAGCGAGAGAAAGGTCCGTGGGAAACCCAGCCAAAGTCAACAGAACAACCGAGAAGTTTGACATCCGTAGACGGGAGACTTCTAAAAGTAAACTCCACCGGGGATGTGAAATAGAGAACAAAAGCTTGAAAATTGACTTACCAGGACGACGAGGCAATACCCTTAGCGACAGTTCACCACGTTCCAAAAATTAGGCGAGGCAAGGCGAGGAAGATGGTGCGAGAGGAATTGAGGTGGTGTTCAGAGAGAATTGAAGTTGAAGAGAGCAAAGGTGTTCTAGAGAAGAGTGGACATGGGGGTTAGGTAACAGAGCCTTCCAAAAAGCGAAGGAACAATCATTAGAAAGTAAGAACGGAAAGAAGAAAAGATATCAAATTGGTGGGTTGATAACGACTACACCTGCCACACCCATTTGGTGAGGGAAAGAACGTGAAAGCAGGTCGAGGAAGCTACAACACGCCTTTCAGGGGTTTGAAGCGGGCCACCTAGAAGCTCACCATTTTATGACAACAGCAATTGCATCTGTTCTCAGAAAATTCACTCTTTCTTTTTCCAAATAGGTTAAACGGCGCAGGCGAGGCAGCTGCTACCGAGAATGGAGTTTTCACCGCAAAGACACAGGGTAAAATTTACTAAAACCTGGGCAATTCCCGAGCATGTACTGTACTCCGAAATGCACTCAAACTACGCATGTCAACACTGCTGTTAAGTTTTCTGCCATTAAGCCCCTGTAAAATGCCTTTTAAAGCCAATGCAGACTAAACAAAGCCAGAACATCATTGGGTGGTATACATCATGGCACCAGTCTCAAAGCCATTAAGCGTGAGCACAAGATCAAAAAGAACTTGCTGCAACCCGTCTTGAAAGGGAGCCCATTTGAAATTTATTTACCATTGCCCCAGCAATCAAGTCTGAAGAAGGACTTATACGCACAAGCTATCCAGAAATCAGAACTGGAAACCCTTAAACTATGAGAAAGGCATAGGTAAAGTAGCCAATGACAAAGACATTGCGAGTTAAGATGTGGCTCATCTAATTGTATCACAAGATGGAAAATGAAGAGAAGACAATGACAAATTGTTACACCGACACGCACAAGACTTTCCAATGTCTTGATCACCATTACAAGCAAGCCAAAACGCAATACCACACCCCATCAATTCCTGTTACGACACTTCGGCTGACGGCCTCTCCCAGACTTCAATTAATTTCCATCTTTACCCAATCTATTCATTGCTTGCATTTGGAGGGGGAAAATACCCTCCACCCTCTAGGCTTTGATATTTTCCCTTTGAGGCTTGCTGATAAAGAAAGAGAAACTTGAGTTGACCCGAAATGGACGTAGTTGCATCTTCTCCATCAACGCCCTTTGCCGGTCATGAAAAGAAAGATATAAGAAGGCCGAACTTTCCCCCTTCCATCCATTCACAAACGCCAGATTATGCGTAATTGTCTGAAGATCGTTCGTAGGACGGTGGCCATCCGCCCTGATTGCTAAATTGAAAGTAGGTAGTTGCTGAGGCGGACCGTCTGTGGCACCGGCCCAGGAAGGACCCATCAGTGATGGCCCTACTGAGGTTTCCATAGTTGGTTGTTTTATGGCACACAGAGTCCAAGAGGAATGCAGTTTCCTGGCATCTGCGCCTCCGATATCCCTTCTCCAAGTCGTTACTTCGTTGTCAAGCTCACAGCGAGCTAAATATGGCAAATGGCTTGTGCATTGCGAAACTCGTACCAAGTTGCAGACGTGCTAAGAGAACCCTCTGGCAGTGGTACCGGTAACCGATGGCTTTCATACAGCCTGCACCCCGCTTCGAGGCTATCCAAGGCAAACGCCAACGACTCGATGGCGTGATTACTCAGACCTGCCCATTGAAGCCCTCTTGACTACCAATTACAGAAGGCCAAAGAAATAGGCGGGATATAGGAGCCCTTCATGCCCGAGCCTAGACCTGCCGCTAGTCGCTGGGGCTATCGGGGATGGGCACTGGAGGATCAGGTTGAGGTTTGGGGCGTGGCTTGTCGGCTTCCTGTAGAAGAGGAGAGTTCAAAAGAGCGTGGGTGTTGTTGCGGATGATATCTTGTCTATCCATGGTATGTTTCATGCTACCCAATTGTTGACTTGTTGGATTGAAAGATGCACATAAATGTTAAGAGTTGCCGAGGTGCAAAGCGAAGATACGACCAAGGCCCCGAGATAGACGGCGTGTTTTTTTTCAATGTTGCGATAGTCGATACCTTAAGATAATTTGGACACTGGAGAGGGGACGACTCGAATCAATCGGGGAGGATGGCCATCCGCATCTTTTTAAGGAGCTTCTTTGGAGCCTGCTTCGCCTTGATGTGCCACCCTGCCACCCCTCTCCCCACCTTCACGGGCACAAGACGCTTGAGCAACACGGAATTTGGATGCGGAGCATGCACGCCCATTCGGGAACGCTCTCAAGTCTCACGGCAGGGACGGGAAAACAGTTTCTTGGTTATCCTATAGGAATTTTTGCCGAAGTAGCACGTGGCTCTCGTCAATGAAACTTCTTCATAGTTTGATCACCGGGACAGGCAACGAGAGCCGCGGAGAGAAAATGATTGGGAAGCGGGAGTAATGGGCGTCACAAGAAACCCCTCATTATCTCGCTGATATGACAGGTCCGACCTGAGGTCTACAGGCAACGCACAGGCTCCCACCTGTCACACTTTCTTTTTATATACTAGGGAGAAATCACGGAGCGCCATGGGTAGTGACAGGGATACAAAACCTGCTTGGCTCGATTGGCAAAGCGATTACAAAACACGGGACCAATTTTTGAAAGACGGCCGAACGAAAGATTGCGAGTCCAGATGGCATGTCAATGTTGGGTTTTCCTCCCTTGCGACTGCGCACGCGCTTCGTTAGGCCATGGTGTCGCGACACACAGCTGCGCCGCCCGCGGCCATGTCAAATTGAAATCAACGCTGGAGGTACAACCAGATATGCAACATGGGAACGAGCCGCCGGGGCATGCCGTCAAGGTTGATTTAGGGGAACGGCAGATCGACTTGGGCGGGGCTACTGGATGTTGGGCGTCGGCAGGTCGTTTTTTGTGGGTGGCAGGCCTCGCCGGCCCGTCACGTGGGCTGACGGCCGCCACCACTGGTCTTAGCCAGCCTCCACAGCCCTCTAGCCAGTTAGTTAGTTCTTCCAACCAACAACACCACTTTTCCCATTCTGAGCGTTCTGTGCTGGTTTCGCCCACAGGTTATGAGCCCAGCGTTATTCTTTCGGAATAACGTCGTTTTACCCATTATTCTACTCGTCTGTCAATTTTCTATTGATTCACGAATTTTTGCGATTTTATTCGCTTTATTTACCCTTCTGTGCGATTTTCTCGCTTTCTTTCCTTCCTCTTCGCTGACGAATTTCACTTTCTGACGCGACATTGGCTGCCTGGCGCGCACGAATATCACGTGGCACGCGACCGACCACCACAACCCACTGGTTTTCACGAACACCACGGTCAACAACAGACTTTTCAGTCACAACTACAACTTTTACTTCGATTCCTCGTTTTTCACGAGAATTCAACCATTTCAGCTTCGGTTTTTCGAACCAGCCCATCAGTTTCTCGTATCTTCTACGAGTATTCATTCTTCCCTTCGATTCACCGTATTTCTACGGTCGGATCTCACAATTCCACCCATTTCTCGTGTTCTTACGCAAGATTCTCCCTCCTACACAATCCAACAGCACGCGTAGGTGGCAGCGAAAGTAAGCCATCTAACGTACAGACACGCCTCCAAAGCTGCGGCCTCGGAGAAACGCCTGTGATCGAGGTGCGACTATAAGTCTGTCCCGCACTGTTGTGATACCCTCACTTTCACTTCAAGATGTCTCAAAACGACTTCAAGACCGTCTTCACGCCTCTTCCTCGCCTGAAAGGTGAATCCAACTGGAACACATGGCGCATGCTTGTTACAGCGACCCTGCGAGGATACGACTTCGAGATATTCCTCGAGACTGACGTCCCTCGCCCTGCTGACCCTATCGCTGCAGAGGAATGGAGAAAGAACCGTAACGTCACGAATGGTCTCCTCATGAACGCCAGCGAATCGGTTCTTGACAGACTCTGCACAGCGGGTTGGGTTGACGATGGAAACCCTTACGAATTGTGGCAGGCGCTCGAGAAGCACATTCCGAGAATCTCACAAGACGCCACAGCTGCCCTTGTTGACGAGTTTGCCAAGACCACCGCCAACGATCACAAGACTCTTCACGATGCCCTCAATCGCTGTCACCACCTCAGAAAGCGTATTGAGACCATTCACGGTCGTCTGCCAGACTCCTTCCTCGCTGTTTTCCTCCTTAACTTCTTTAAGGACCGACTTCCCGATACGTACAAGCATTTCACATCGAAGGGCGCCACCCATCCCACGTGGAATGAGGTGGCTGATACGATTTACACGCTTGCCCAAGACGAGGATCAAAAGCGCAGTTATGCCACTATTCGCAACACACCTGGAGGCAAGTCTGCTGGCAGTGGGGGTCCTGCCTCTCCAGCCGTCACCACCACCGTCACCTCCACTGTCACTGCCTCCAAGGAAAAGAAGAAGTGCGACCACTGCAACTGTGATCACGAGACCACAAAGTGCTATGTCGCCCACCCCAATCTCATCCCTCTACACTACGTCAACCGGGATAAGTTGATTGAAAAAGCGAGAAAGCACGTGTGTGGCGATCGCTGCCGCTGGGATCAGCCTACTTCTGTTGATGGCACCCGCCAGACTGTTGTCAGAGCGTCACCTGCCATCTTGGGTCAGTCTGCCCTTGCCTCCATCGCCAGCCCAGCAGTTTTCACTGCTGCCCGCGATGACCTCATCACCCGAGACGATATCGT